ATCTAAATTTTGAACATTTTCATCACCCCAGAAGGGAATCCCATAGTCATTAGAACAATATCTTTTTAAAAATGTATTTTCTAATTGAAAATAAAAACAATTTTTTTTTCTTTTTTGTCTTTTTTCGTGTCCGGCAACGGATTGCAACCCTCAGTGTCGCGCCCGTACCGGACCAGGACCGGCAACGGGATCGCAACCCTTGGCATTGCTCCCACACCTCGCTCAGCCAGTGAGCGGGAACCGGTCTGTATGTGGGATCCGAACCCTCGGCGGGAGCGCCACCGCGCTCCCAAGCGGCGCACTGTAGCAGTGCGCCACCGGGCCGGCCCAAAACAATTTATTTTTGTATATTTATTTGGAATTACATAAACTTGCTGAACTTTCTATTTAGTTCTAATAGTTTGTGTATAATTTTGGGTTCTCTATGTAAAAATCACATTATCTGTGAATAAGACCATTTGTTTCCTTCTTTATAATCTTTATATATTTTATTTCTTTTTCTTGTCTTATTGCCTTGGCTAGAATCTTCATATCATATAATTTGTATGTGTGTATTATCTCTAAATTTAAAGAGAAATGCTCTAAATGGTTTTTAGTAGATACTGTTTCTCAGTTTTAGGAATTTTCCTTCTATTTCTGGTTCTTTTGATTATGAATGACATTGAAATTTTTTTACATATGTTTTCTGCACTTTTTGACATGATCATATAGTTGCTATTTTAATGTTTTCATGCGGTGAACTACATTAACAGTCATTCTAATATTGAACACAAGGCTGAAATCAAGGTGTCAACCAGTTACATCCTTATCTGGAGGTGAAACTAGGGAAAGAGCTACTTTCCCGCCCCCTCAGGTTGTCTGCAGAATTCATTTCCTTGTAATAGGAATGGGGTCCCATTGTCTTGCCATCATCTGGGGACTTTCCTCAGCTCTTAGAGGGCACTTTCAGGTCCTTGCTACCAGGGCCCCACAACAGTACCTCTTAAACTTCCAAACTTTCTGACTTCTGAAGGGCCCAGTTCCTTTAAGGGGTTCACCTGGTTTGTTTCAGGTATGTCTTTTGTAAGTAGCATACAGTTGGACTTTTAAGAAACCCAATGTAATAATCTTTATCCTTTATTAGGAGATTAAAATTGACTTATATTTCTTGTGATTACTGATATATTTGGTCTTAATTCTATAATCCTAGTGTATTCTCTATATCCTTTCCTTATATTTCTTGTGATTACTGATATATTTGGTCTTAATTCTATAATCCTAGTGTATTCTCTGTATCCTTTTGCCTGTTTTTTGGGTCTTTTTCTGACTTCTGTAGATTGACAAAATGGTCTGTATTACCTGTTTCCCACACACATTTTTCCCTTCTGCTGGTTTTGAAATACATTATATTTACATCTATTTACTGGATATCCTTAACATTTTAAACATATATTTGTAACTATACATTTGTCTAACACAGCAGTCAGACAAGTGTATATTTTTTTGTAAATAAAGCTTTATTGGAACACAGCCTTACCAATTCACGTACATATTAGCCATGGCTATTTCAGTGCTGCAGCAGCAGAGCTGAGTGGTTATGATAGAGACCTTATGGCCCACAAAGCCTAAATATGTACTAACTGGCCCCTCACAGAAAATATTTGCCGTCTTCTGGTCTAGCACAATGAAGAGAGATTTAGCCTTTCTAACATAATTTGGTGAAACTACATGCAAAACCGTCCCTCTGTAAATATTTTTATCATTGACTAGGTTGTTAGTTTAATATGAAAAAAATAAACACACAAACAAAACCCTGAAAAACTGAATAGCATCATTTTTAAAAACAAGCAATGATGGGCCGGCCCAGTGGCGCACTGCTGCAGTGCGCCGCTTGGGAGTGTGGAGGCGCTCCCGCCGAGGGTTTGGATCCCACATACAGACCGGTTCCCGCTCACTGGCTGAGCGAGGTGCGGGCGCGACACCGAGGGTTGCGATCCCGTTGCCGGTCCCGGTCCGGTGTGGGCGCGACACTGAGGGTTGCGATCCGTTGCCGGATGTGAAAAAAGACAAAAAGGATCCGTTGCCGGATGTGAAAAAAGACAAAAAGGAAAAAAAAAAAAAAACAAGCAATGATTAATTAAAGTTAACTACTTAAAAATTATTTTCTGCCTACCATTTTTCTTGTATACTATGCATTATGTTTGGGCTTAGTTTTCCTGTTGTTTTATTGAGGTTCTAGGATGATGACTCATTTTTCACCTAAAAATATGTTTATTTTGCCCTCGGTCTTCACTGACAGTTTAGCTGGATGTAATGTTCTAAGATGACTTATTTTCCTGCTGCTCTTTGAATGTGTTACTCAATTATCCTCTAGAATATATGTTTGCAAAGGTGAAGTTTCCTCTTCTTTTAAGTATTTTATTTTTCCCTCTGGATATTCTGTCTTTTCTTTCTGGTAGTTTTTAAGACTTTCTTTTTGTGTTTGATGTTCTGCAGTTCCTCACACTGTTTCTAGCTATGGGTTTATTTTGTCTATCAGATTGGTGCTTGAAGTACACTTTTAATCTGAGAATTGATGTCTTTAATTCTGGAAATTTTTCATCTGAAAATTTTTTATCTGGAAATTATATCTTTTACTGTTTCTGCTTCTTCACCATTTCTTCTATGGTCTTTTTCTGAAACTCACATTTGATGTGTGTTAGATCAGAGATCTACGCACACATACGGTATTGCACACTCTACTCTATATTACTAACTCGTCTCTCATTCCTTTCCTTTGTTCTGATATCTGTGGGTGAATTCCTTAGTTCTAGCCTGAGTGCGATCTTCTAAATCACCTCTAAGTGTTAAACCGTCTCCAACCTAAACTATGATTTATTGATTATTATTATTGATATTATTTCAATAATTATGTTAATAATTGCTTATTGCCAAGACTTCTAAGTAGTTTTTAAATTTTTCTACCTGTTTCTACTTATTTTTGATGAATAATTTGTTGATTTCATCTGAACAAAGTTCATCTCTCAATAGTTGATTCTGCTGAATATCTCTCTTAGCCCTGGATTTCCTCACATGCTCTGGCATTCTGGTTTCAATAGGAGGATTTCTTGTTTCCCTTCTTTTCTTTTCCTTTGAGAGATTTATCTTATTATTATTATTTTTTGACCAGTAAGGGGATTGCAACAGTGTGGTCTGCACCACGCTCAGCCAGTGAGCACACCGGCCATCCCTATATAGGATCTGAACCCGCAGCCTCGGCGCTACCAGCACCGCACTCTCCCGAGTGAGCCATGGGGCCAACCCAAGGTTTATCTTATTTTTGACTGCAGCTCTGTCTCAAATTTTGTCTCTCACTGCCATGTATGTGAAGTGGGAAGACACAAAGTCTTCTTTACAAGGAATTCTGGATGCACTTCAGTGGTAGAGTCAACAGGATTGTTGGTTGATTAGATGTGAACTAAGAAAGAAAGAGAGAGGAGTCAGGGATAAAGCCTTGGTTTTGATTCAAACAGGAAACTAGTGCTATTTACTGAGAGGGATGTATGTGGGGGAAGGAGCAAGATTGGGAGTGAGAATCAAAAGTTCTTTAATCACCATGATATAAACAACTCCAAACAAAAGAAAGTACATGTTTTAACACTCATGTTAAGGTTAAAAAAAACAAAAAGATCTTTAGTTGTATAATGTTGGATATATTTCATTGTTTAATGTTTTGATACACACATGCATGCACACATGCACACACACACGCACATGCATATATAAACAACTCCAAACAAAAGAAAGTACATGTTTTAACACTCATGTTAAGGTTAAAAAAAAAAAAGAGATCTTTAGTTGTATAATGTTGGATATATTTCATTGTTTAATGTTTTGATACACACACGCATGCACACATGCACACACACACGCACATGCATGCACACATGCACACGCACACACACATGCACGCACACACACACACACACACACACACACACACATATATATAGCCAAATGGAACTGTTAGAGAATACAGTTGGTTATATGAGCTTGGAGCTCCAGGTCTAGATTAAAGATATTAACTTGGGAGTAATAGGCATAGGATGGTATTCAAAGCTATTGGGTACGTCCTTTATGGGATGAGCCCTGGGGCATCCAATTTTTGACTTTGGTAGAAGAGGCAAAGCTGGCAAAAGGGACTTAGAAGGAGCACCCAGGGAGTTGGAGGAAAACAGGAAAGGGGTGACCAAAGGGCAGGAGATGACACATTTAAAGGAGACTTGACCATTAAAATTGACAAGAGACAGGCTCGACACAGCATTTCAGTGTAGATATGGGCGTGAGAACCTGGTTGGAGAAGGCTGAAGAGAGACTGAAAGGTAAGGAAGTGGGGAGACTGAGGACTGACACTTTCAGTGAGTTTTGATGTGAAGGGAGGAGGTGCATGTGGGATCTTTAGTTTTGTTTTGTTTTTAGGAGGGGAGACATGGGGGTATGTGTTTATGCTGATGGAACTGACCATGATGGCTTCTCTGAGTTCCTTGTCCCTCTATTCCACCTCCTGAGTATGCCACTTCCCTGTCCTCTGAGATGTGATGAAGGGTGGACTGTGGTGCTGGCTCAGGAGTCCCTCAGGCTCCATCTTACTCCTGCTCTCAGGCACTGCCACCTCTCTGGAGGCAACTTGGAGTGTAGTTGGGGTTGGTTTGGGGATATGGTTCAGGCTGGGACTCAGTTGGAGGATAGATTGACTGGCAGGCCAGGGGCCTGGTGTCCACTCAGGGATGGCATCTTTGAACTGGAGGGATGGTTGTGTGGGTAAAAGTCATTGCCCAGATTTCCATGAGGGCTTCCGGATTCTGTTCCTGCTTCTCCTCGTGTGGCAAGCCCCGCTCCCTGTGCTGGCTCTGTGGGTGTACAGTGGAGGACACAGGCATGAAGTGGTCACTGTTCTTGGGAAAAGGACATAGGTGCTGGGAGGAGTATATTCTCCTCCAGGCTCAGTGTGGAAACCCTCGATCCCTTGTTGTTTCTGCCAGGATTCTTGCCACAGCTGGAACTGACTTCGACCTGCGAACACTGAGGGCGGTGCGTGTGCTGAGGCCCCTGAAGCTGGTGTCTGGTATTCCAAGTAAGTCCAGCTGAGACAGCCAGGCCCAAGCCTACCGGGAACATCACCCGCCTCACCACAGCCACAGCCACAGCTACGCCCCTGACTAGTGGGCCCTTTGGTTTTGGTGACTCTGAGCTTGTCACTTTTGACCCTAGGGAACCAGGTGTGAGGAGGGGAGGAATGGGCCTTTTCCAGCCTGTCCCACTCTCCACGAAAGCCCACACGGTGGCCCTGTCATTTTGTTCTGACTTGGCTTCCCTCATTGGAAGCTTTGTTCCTTTTCACACACTCTGGTGTATTTCCAGCTCTTTGCTTCTTTTTCTGGTGTTAAACAATGGTGGGGCAGGATGCCTGAGAAAATAGTCAAAGGCTGCAAAGAGCCACCAGTCTTGACTGAGGCTGGGCAGGGCCACTGGGGACTGAGACTGGCCTTAACACATGCTCCTGGAGTGGGCTGCTCGAGGAGCCAGCCAGGACGACCTTGCGAGCGAGTGACAACCCCGGCCCGTTTCTCCAGTCCAGCGCAAGTTTGGTTTTAGGTTTCCCAAGGGCCCGGTGGGCAGGCACCTGGATGTTTTCCTGTGCCCACTACAGGAAGACCATCGTTTGGCTCCCTGTTCTGCCCCGAGACCCTGGCAGACAAGGAGCTGGGGCCAGGCTGGAAGTGGGGAGGTCATGGAGCTGGAGTTCGTCACAGCTTCTTGACGAACTCGTGTCCTAGGGTCAGTGGCAGAACACGCCCCAGGGGCAGATCCTCCTGCCTCACTTTCCCTAAGGAGTTGGGTCTGTTGGGAACCCCTGTACTTCCTGCCCGGGCTCTCCTGTTCATCCCTCCCTGGATTTCCTGCTCTCTCCTCCCGGGATCCCTGGTTCTCCCCTCTCAGCGTCCCCTGCTCTTCGCTCCCAGCATCCTCTGCTGCTCCTTCCCAGGATTCCCTGTTCTTCCCTCAGTCTGGACTCTGTGCTCTTGCCCACCGGGAGCCCTCCAGATCCACGGGTGGCTCCAGCCTCCGCCTCCTCAGACTTCCTGCTCTGACGCCCTTGGTCCTGCTCCTGTCCCAGCGCCCCTGCCCTGGACACTCTGTGCTTTGTCCCTGAGAACTCTCAGCTCTGCCCCACAGACGCTCTCCCCGCTCTGTCCTCTTTGAGGGTCATCGGCTCTGCCCGTTGGTCAGCGCCTTGCTCATGCTCAGCGCCTTGGCCCGGACTCTCGGTGTCGCCCCTCCCGGGCTCTTGCCACTCCCTCGTGCCCCGCCCTCCCCTCTCCGCCCCGCCCCTGCCCGCTCTCTGACCTGCCCGCTCCGCTCTCCGCCCGCTCCCACCCGCTCTGCTCTGCTCTCTGCCCCACCCACTCCACTCTCCGGCCCGCCCACTCCGCTCTCTGCCCCACCCGCTCCGCTCTCTGCCCCGCCCGCTCCGCTCTCTGCCCCGCCCGCTCCGCTCTCTGCCCCGC